GTAGCTGGGACTATAGGCATGTGCCACCACACCAAGCTAATTTTTTTTGTATTTTTAGTAGAGACAGGGTTTCACCATGTTGGCCACCATGACTGGCTAATTTTTGTATTTTTGGTAGACACAGGGTTTCACCATTTTGGTCAGGCTGGTCTCAAACTCCTGACCTCATGATCTGTCCAACTCAGCCTCCCAAAGGGTTGGGATTACAGGTGTGAGCCACCAGACCTGGCCAAAAGAGGTTTATTTAACTCACAACTCTGCAGGTTGGGTAGTTCAAAGATTGGGTGGCTGCGTCAGGTGGCTTCTGGTGAGGGCCTCATGCTGAGTTAAAATGAGGTGGAAGTGGGATCAAGTACATGAAATGACTGTCAAAACATGGAGGTAACCTGTCTTTATAACAACTGGCTCTCTTCAGGATTAACCCACTCCAACAAGAACTAACACAGTTTTGTAAGAAAAAGGTTAATTCATCTCAATGACCTAATCACCTCTTAACGACACCACCTCTCAACGAAGCCACACTGGGGAACAAGCTCCAACATGAGTTTTGGTGGGAACAAACTATTTTTAAACTATAGTAGGTGGTAAATAGAAAATTATCTAACAAATTGAGTATAAAGGGCTCTGATAATTATCTTGAACATTATGGTTTCAGGGACTGAGAGAGAGTTATACTTCCCCATGATAGCTAAATTTTAGTAATTAAGTATTTGATTAAGAGTTTAAAAGGCATTATCCTGAACTATGAGCCCATGTCTTTAGAAACGATAGAGAGGGATAAAAGGAAATGAGTAAAATTTGGTGCATCTCTCTTTTCTTTTAAGAGCAAGATTTTGTTTACAAGACCTTTGCATGAGCCAAGTTTAACTAATGGCAACAGTATTTGTTGTAGCTTTTATTATTTGTGAATGTCCTGAGGCTATAACTTAAAAGTATTTTAATACTACTAATATTGCTAAGCTTAACAGGAGTTTTTCAATCATGAAAGAGAATTTTCTACTTGTTTGGTTCCTTATGATAAAATTATTCTTGGACTAAAATGTAAGCTGTACATTAAAAAAAATTATTTGATATTTCTGACCCACACAACGCAGGATCCACATCTAAGGAACAGAAATTTGGTGATGAGTCATGGAAAATAAACTTGAGTGTTTTTCAGGGCAAAGGAATTTAGTGGTGAGATATAAAAATAGGCAAACTTAACTGTGTCTCATCTTCAAGAAATATTTTTTCTTCCCCTTATCTTCCACATGCTATATAAACTAAATCTAAGAAAGGTTTGTTATTTTTAAAATAATTATATTTAACACAAGACACAACAAAGGCCAATCTGGAAAATTATTATTCTTATTATTGAGACAGAGTCTTGCTCTGTTGCCTAGGCTGCAAGGCAGTGGTGTGATCTCAGCTCATGGCAACCTCCACTTCCTAGGCTTAAGGGATTCTCCCAAGTCAGCCTCCCAAGTAGCTGGGACTATACTACACTTGGCTGATTTTTGTGTTTTTGTAGACATGGGGTTTCTTTATGTTGCCAGGCTGGTCTTGAACTTGTGGGCTCAAGCAATCCATCTGCCTCAGCATCCCAAATTGCTGGGCTTACAGGTATGAGCTACCAAAACCGGCCCACTTTTTTTTCTTCTACTGGTTCTCATTATAAAATTAGAAATTCTCCCTTCAAGTCCTTAACTGTGCAGTTGAAACTTTTATTGGAAGAGTTAAGAAGAGAGAAAAATCTGGGCCACAACAGACCTGATAGTACTTAGAAAATTGTAGTTTCCACTTACATCCTAAACTCATAATGTTTCTTCTCTGATTAGCTATTTTAACCCACAACTCAGTCTTCTTAGTCAGAGGAAATTCCTATTCCACTCACAAATGCTCCGGCTCATGCTTGGCTTTCTGACTGCACAGGTGCAATCTTGATGCAAATAGGCCTCCTTAATACTTTACTGTGCATTAGAACTGCCTGGAGGACTTGCTAGAATGCAGATTGCTGAGGCCTCACTCCTGGAGCTCCTGATTCATTGGGTCTGGAGCAACACCTGAAAAGCAGCATTTCTAGCAAATTCTTAGATAAGATTTATGCTGCTATTCTGGACACTCCACTTGAGAACCAGTAGTGTGATGACAAGAGACTGTGAGTAGAGAGTTAAGAAATCTTGTCTTCATTTGCTTTCATAACTTCCTGCCACTGAAACACTTATATATGACTTATCTGTACCTGGTTTCCTCATTTGTAAAACAAAAGGAATTGAGCTGGTAAATCGTCACTCAGTACAGGCATTTTGCTCTTTACAGGTACTGTGTTTTGCACAAAATGAAGGTTTTTGGCAACCCTGTGTCTACCAAGTCTACTGGCACCATGTTTTGAACAACATGTGTACGCACTCTGTATCTCTGTCACATTTTGATAGTTCTTGCAATATTTCAAAATTTTCCTGATTATTATGTTTGTTATGCTGATCTGTGATTGGTAATCTTTGATGCTAATAATGATTGTTTTGGGGTGCCATGAGCCTCACCCATGTAAGACAGCAGACTTAATTGAAAAATATTATGTGTGTTCTGACTGCTCTACTCACTGGGAGTTCCTTCATCTTTCTTTTCCTCAGGACTCCCTATTCTCTGAAACATGAAAATATTGAAATTAAGCTGGCCAGGAGCGGTGGTTCATGCCTGTAACCCCAGCACTTTGGGAGGTTGAGGTGGGCGGATCATCTTAGGTCTGGGGTTCGAGACCAGCCTGACTACATGGAGAAACCCTGTCTCTACTAAAAATACAAAATTACCCAGCCATGGTGGCGGGCGCCTGTAATCATAGCTACTCAGGAGGCTGAGGCAGGAGAATTTCTTGAACTCGGGAGGTGAAGGTTGTGGTGAGCTAAGGTCCTGCCATTGCACTCCAGCCTGGGCAACAAGAGTGAAACTCCATCTCAAAAAAAGAAAAAAGAAAATAAGCCAGTTGGCCTGGTGTGGTGGCATATGTCTGTAATCCCAGCACTTGGGAAGACTGAGGTGGGCAGATCGACTGAGGTCAGGGGTGTGAGACCAGCCTGATCAACATGGTGAAACCCTGTCTCTACTAATAATACAAAATTAGCTGGGCATGGTGACACATGCCTGTAACCCCAGATACTCAGGAGGCTGAGGCAGGAGAATTGCTTGAACCCGGGAGGTGGAGGTTGCAGTGAGCCAAGATCCTATCATTGCACTTCGGCCTGGGCATCAAGAGTGAAACTCTGTCTCAAAAAAAAGAAATTAAGCCATTTTACAACCCTACAATGGCCTCTAACTGTTCAAGTGAAAGAAAGAGTCACATGCCTCCCACTTTAAATCAAAAGCTAGAAATAATTAAGTTTAGTGTGGGGAAGGCATGTTGAAAGCTGAGATACGCTAAAGGCTGGGCCTCTTGTGAAGAACAGTCAAGTTCCGAATGCAAAGGAAAAGTTCCTGAAGGGAGTTAAAAGCGCTTCTCCAGTGAACATACGAATAATAAGAAAGCAAAAGAGACATTGCTGATATGAAGAAGGGTAGAGCGGTCTAGATAGAAGATAAAACCAGCCACCACGGTCCCTTCAGCTAAAGCCTAATCCAGAGCAAGGCTCTTTTTATTCCAGGAAGGCTGAGAGAGGTAAAGAAGCTGCAGAAAAAAAGTCCGAAGCTAACAGAGTTTTGTTGTTGGGGTTTGTGGAAAGACACATCTCCATGAGTTCAAGGACGCGGCAACTACCATGCGAAAGCTATAGCAAGTTATCCAGAAGATCTAGCTGAGGTCATTAGTGAGCGTGGCTACACTGAATGACAGATTTTCAGTGTAGATGAAACAGCTTTCTATTGGAGGAAGATACCATCAGGGACTTTCATAGTTAGAAAGGAGAAGTTAACACCTGGCTTCAAAGAACAGGTTGACTCTTGTTAGTGGCTAATGTAGCTGTTAACTTTAAATTGAAGCCAGTGCTCACTTACTATTCTGAAAATGCTAGGGCTCTTAAAAAGTGTGCAATATCTACTCTGCTCATGCTCTATAAATGGAACAGTGAAGCCTGGATGACCACACATTTGTTTATAGCATTATTTACTGAATATTTTAAGCTGCTTGTTGAGACTTCTCAGAAAAAAGGTTTTTTTTTTCTTTTCCAAAGTTTACTACTCATTGACAAATTCACCTGGTCACTCAAGAACTCTGATGGAGAGGTATAGGTATGTAAATGTTGTTTTTATGCCTGCAAACATGACATTCATTCTGCAACCCATGAATCAAGGAATAATTTTAACTTTCAAGTCTTATTATTTATGAAGCAAATTTTGTAAGGCTATAGGTGCTATAGATATTGTTTCCTTTGATAGTTCTGGGCTAAATAAATCGAAAACTTCTGGAAAGGATTCAGCGTTCTAGATGTTGTTAAGAACATTTGTGATTCATGGGAGGAGGTCCAAATATTGACATTAACAGGGGTTTAGAAGAAGTTGGTTTTAACCTTTATGGATGACTTTGAGGAGTTTAAAACTTCAGTGGAGAGAGCCACTGCAGATGTGATGAAAATAGAACTATAATTAAAAATGCAGCCTAAAAATGTGACTGAATTACTATAATCTCATAATAAAATCCGAATGGACAAAGAATTTCTTCTAGTAGATGAGCAAATAAACTGATTTCCTGAGATGGAAAATGCTCCTAGTGAGGATGCTGTGAACTTTGTTGAAATGACAACCAAGGATTGATAGTATTACGTGAACTTAGTTGATGAAGTAGCAGCAGTGGTTGAGAGGATTGACTCCAATTTTGAAAGGAATGCTACTGTGGGCAAGATGCTATCAAACAGCATCGCATGCTACAGAGAAATCTTTCATGAAAGAAAGTAAGCAAGTTGGCAAATTTCCTTGCCGTCTTTTTTTTATTTTCATTTTTGAGACCCAGTAGCCAGATGTAGCTACTGATTACAAAAGACAGGATCTACATTGGCTGCTGAGCCTTCCTTGCTGTCTTAATGTGAGATTGCCACAGTCACCCCAGCCTTTAGCAACCGCCACCCTGATTAGTCAGCAGCCAACCACATTGAGGCCAGACCCTTCAACCAGCAAAGATTGCGACTCGCTGAAGGCTCAGGTGATGGTTAGCATTTTTTAGCAATAAAGTATTTTAAAATTAAGATATATGCCTTATTTTTTAGACATAATGCTATTGTAGCTTTAAGAGACTACAGTATAGTGTAAATATACTTTACATATGCTGGGAAATGACAACATTTGTGTGACTTGCTCTATTGCAATATTCACTTTATTGTGATGGTCTGGAACTGAGCCTGCAAGACCTCGGAGGTATGCTTGTATTTATCAATGATTTTTCTTTCTATGTAATGTATGCCATCAATTCATGGCACTCTTCTAGAAGTAAAAAAGATTTATTCCAACAGTCATTTCAAATTGTGAACCTTTCCTTGGAGGGTATTTCCCAGTCTCATTGAAGGTATTAGAGGGAGTAATTAGAAAAAGCATTTCATTTATTTCATGAAATAGAATGCCTTACAATCAAAGTTTTAGATCAGAGCTTCCCAGTGGGATGCTTTTTCTAAAGAAAAGGGTTTTCTTGGGTCTGGGGCTTCTCAGCAGTCCATCTTTATAAGTGTCTCTTTATCCTAATATGCCATAAATACATTGTGATTTTCTTTTCTTTGTGTGTGTGTGTGTGTTTTTTTTTTTTGAGACAGAGTCTCACACTGTCACCTGGGCTGGAGTGCCCGTGGCACCATCTCTGCTCACTGCAACCTCCACCTCCCAGATTCAAGCGATTCTCCTGCCTCAGCCTCCCAAGTAGCTGGGATTATAGGCAACCACCACCAAGCCTGGCCTTTTTTTCTTTCTTTCTTTTTTTTTTTTTTTTTATAGTAGAGATGGGGTTTCACTGTGTTGTCCAGGCTGGTCTGGTACTCCTGACCTCAGGATCTGCCCACCTTGGCCTCCCAAAGTACTGGGATTACAGGCATGAGCCACTGCTCCCAGCCCTTGTTCTGATATCTTTCATGTAAAATTTATTTAGGAATGAGGTCCACTATAATAAAAAGACTGCCTGTGGTATGCTAACTTAGTTTTTAAAATGTTAGCTGAAATACTGGCACCATTCTTCGTTTTACTTTGAAGCAGAAGTTGAGTACAGTATGGAAGAGATGGTTTCATTTTTCTTTTTTTGTTTTGTTTTGTTGTTTTTTTAGATGGCTTCTCACTCTTGTGGCCCAGGCTGGAGTGCAATGGCATGATCTCAGCTCACTGCAAACTCCTCCTGAGTTCAAGTGATTCTCCTGCCTCAGCCTCCCGAGTAACTGGGATTACAGGCACCTGCCACCACACCCAGCTAATTTTTTCTATTTTTAGTCGAGACGGGATTTCACTATGTTGGTCAGGCTAGTTACAAACCCCTAACCTCAGGCAATCCACCCGCCTCGGCTTCCCAGAGTGCTGGGATTACAGGCGTGAACCACCGTGCCCGGCTGGTTTCATTTCTTTGAATCTGCCCGAAAGAGTTTTCCCATCTAGCACTGCATTTTTTGTGCATGTATATCCATCAGCCATACACTGTGTATGGCACATAATAAAAAATGCAAGGCTGGTGATTAAAAGGAAGGGGGGCTCCTGTATGTGTGTGCACATGTCCAGTGGCTGGAGTTGGGGAATGGCAAATAGAAAAGAATGGTGCTGAGGTTTTTGGGGTGTACTTTAAAGTTTTCTGAAGACATGGAAAATGCTACCAGCTGGATCTGTCTCTTCACTGGAAATCCCATAGGATTCTGAATATATTGTACTGTCTCCTCAGGGACTAGAACATGCTTGGAACAAGAGGGATGCTTAGAACATGTCTTCAAATAGCTTCATAAGGGCTTGGCAAAGATCATTAGGTTCCAACCTACTGTCTGAAATGTGTATTATTTACAGTTCATATAAGAGAAGCCACAACATGGGAAATGGTATGGAACAGAGTGAACATTTTACTTTACAAAATAAGCAGACTTACTCTACCAGATCTCCTTTCTCTTCAACTCATTTCAACTTATTTTCCAGATGATCTAATTCCAGTTTGTTTTTAGAAAAACAATCTTCTGTTATCTTGACAACTAATTAGTGTTGAAATGTATGTCACCCCACCTTTTTATATAGTAAATTTAAAGAGACTTTTTGTTTGCTAAAGTGTATGTTGTGTATATATTACTTATGAAATAGTTTTACTCAGAAGCTTCTCACAGAGCTGTTCACAACCACCAATGACATTGTCTGCCATGAAAAACTTAAAGCTCTGTAGCATTTCCTAAAACCAAATATCTACAGCTAACTGATCTTTTTGACAAAACTGACAAAAACATACCCTCAGGAAAGGATACCCTTTTCAATAAATGGTGCTTGGAAAATTGAATTGCCATATGCAGAAAAATGAAACTGGACCCCTATCTCTCACTGTCTACAAAACTCAATTCAAGAGGGATCAAAGACTTTAAAGTGACACCTGGAACTATAAAAATGTTAGAAGAAAATCTAGGGAAAATCTTCTGGACATTGGTCTAGGCAAAGAATTTATGACGAAGACCTCAAAACTTAGGCAATAAAAACAAAAATAGACAAATGAGACTTACCTAACTGAAAAACTTCTGCACAGCAGAAGAAATAATCAACAGAGTGAGCAGACAATCTGCAGAATGGAAGAAAATATTTGCAAACTATGAAAATGAAAGGAGACTGATATTCAGAATATACAAGGAACTCAACAAGAAAAACACATATCACCCCAGTACAAAGTGGGCAAAAGACATGAATAAACATTTTTCAAAGAAGACATACAAATGACCAGGAAGCACATGAAAAATGCTGAGCATCATTAATCATCAGAGAAATGCAAAATACAACCACAATGAGATAAGAATGGCTATAATAAAAAAGTAAAAAAATAACAGATGTTGGTGAGGATACAGAGAATAGGGAATGCTTGTACTCTGTTTGTGGTATAGTAAAAATTAGTACAGACCCTATGGAAACAGTATAGAGATTTCTCAAATAACTAAAATTAGACCTACCATAAAACCTAGCAATCCACTACTGAAATGCCCAGAGGAAAATAAATCATTATGTAAAAAGATACCTGCCCCTGTATGTTATAGAATTATTCACAACAACAAAGAATGGAATCAGCCTAGGTGTCCGTCAACAGTTGAGTGGTTAAAGCAAATATGATATATATGTATATACATTTGCATATATATATATATCATATTTGCTTTAACCAATATGTGTGTATATGTCTATATATGTGTGTGTGTATGTATACATATTTTTATATATAAAGAATGTGATATATATATATATATATATATACACACACACACAATGGAATACTATTCAGCTGTAAAAAAATAAAATCATATCTTTTGCAGCAACATGGATGGAACTGGAGGTCATTATCTTAAGTGGAGCAACTCAGAAACAGAAAGTCAAATATATATTTTCACTTATAAGTGGAAGTAAAATAATATATGGACATAGAATGTAGAATAATAGTCATTGGAGAGTTGGAAAAGCAGGAGGGGATAAGAGAAGAGAAATTACTTAATGGGTACAATGTACACTATTTGGGTAATGGTTATGCTAAAAATCCAGACTTCACCATTATGCAATATATCCATGTAACAAAACTTCCCTTGTACCATTTAAATTTACACACACACACACACACACACACACACACACACACACACACACAGCTTTGTAGGATTTTATATTGGAACAGAAATGGTTTTCACACACTATGAACAAAATTGATAAAAACCTATGTATTTGTGGTAGTAACTAAATAAAAAAGCAGTGTAATGCATAGAATAGCAAACTGATGTTTACCTTTAATTAATCATTTTTAGCAGGGAAAAGCAGGTTACAATATTATGGTTAGTCCTTGCAAAAGATAGACAAAATCTAGAGTGGATTTGAGGCAACCCTAGCTTCCATTCAGAAAAAGAAAAAAATCCCTTTCCTGGAACTCGGACTGCTTTTTACTTCTCCAAACTTTACTTCTCAGTTTATATTACTCATTACTGGTAATTCTGTGTTTGACTCTGGTTGGGCAAGTTTTTGAAATGGCCAACCATGTATTATTTTTATTAACATTGCTTCAGGCTTTAAAAAAGTTTGAGGATCACTGTTGATTGACAGGAGAATCTTCCAGATGTACACTCCAACAGATAATGGAATTCCATTTTTAAATAGCCACATCTACTTAAGATGAGCCAGTCTTCCTATCAAGACACATAAGTATCAATTACTATTTTACACATTTCTATACTTTCTTGGTTTTCTTAAGAATATTTCTACTATTATTCTCTTGAATATTAAAAACAAGTGTGCTGTTACATAACATCTTGCTGAGGCATACCACCAACATCAACACCATCATCCCCGAAAGCTTCACTTGTCACCTTATAGTACTTCATCTAATTCTTGTCTATTTTATCTTTCAGTAGGATTTTCAGCTCCTAGAAGCCAGAGATCATGTTACTCATTCTTTTGCATCCTTCCCAGGGTCTAGTGGAGCACTGAGCATCATGTGAGTAGTCTATAAACAATTGTTGAATCTTGTCGAATTGAACTTAAAATGTCCACATTCCTCGTGCTAATCAAAGAAGTAATGAAAAATTCCCCTGCTCTCTGCAGTCTGAGACTATTTTCAGAAGTAATTATTATCATACTAACATTACAGGGAAGGAAAAGCCAAAGATCAATGCAAAGTAGTACAAAGAAAAGTTAAAAGAAAACAATTTGCCTTTAACCCAGTCCTGTCTGAGCTGCAGAAAGGGGATATTTGGTAAATGTTACAACACCCGTGGTCTCTTGTGATTGTCATATGTACCAGAAGCATAGAGCAGACAGATTTTTAAATATATATATATTTATTTAAAGTTTGAAGTTCTATTAAAAGTTCTGTGTTTATTTCATACCATTTCTTTGATGTTTTAGTAAGCTGGTATGTCAAAGTAATTTTCCACATCTATGACTAATTTCTAAATATTGATTCAGTGCTTTAGACATTGGATTTTACTATGCAATCTCCTCCCTCTTGTAAAACTTGTGAGTGTCATGTGCAGGAAGAAAGACAGGGAGAACAGTGTCTTCTGTGCACTTAATCAGTATCACATGGGCTTCCTTGATCTAGTGGGCTTGGGTTCCCTATTTTAAAACTGCCCTCTTATTTTTCTAGACGATGCGTTTACTAGTTTCTAGTTTTTAAAATCAACTTGTTAGTTTCTTGTTTTTATAGTTAAATTATTAAATCTTTCACTTTATACTTTCTTGTGTCTTTCCCAGTGTCTAGCAGAGTCATAAGCATCTTGTTTATATTCAATATACAATTGTTAAATCATGTTGACTTTAAAATTGAAAAGGAATTTTAAAATGTGGAAGTTTTGCACAGGATCTATTGAATAATATTATAAAATGGTTAAGCAAAATAGCAGTTTTACCCAAACTAGGCTGGGCATTGCATATGTATATACACATGTATATTTGTGTGTGTGTGTGTGTGTGTGTGTGTGTGTGTGTATTACACGCACACACACACACAGCCAGGCCTTGGCTATTTCCTGTAACATTTGTCTTATATATGTTATCTAAAGATGTCTCTGGAAAAACACCAAGAACATTTTTTAAAGTGTTCGGAAATTTTTTGTTGTGCAAGAACATTTAGGTAGTACTGTCTGGAATCTATTTTTTTTTCTGTTACTTTAGTTTTTTAAAAAACATTTTATTTTTATTTTAAGTTCTGAGGTTCACGTGCAGGATGTGCAAGTTTGTTACACAGATAAGCATGTGCTGTGGTGGTTTGCTGCGTCTATCAACTCACAATCTAGGCATTAAGCCCAGCTTGCATTAGCTGTTTTTCTAATGCTCCCTCTCCCCTCACCCCATCTCCCAACAGGCCCCAGTGTGTGTTGTTCCCCTCCCTTTGTCCATGTGTTCTCATTGTTTGGCTCCTACTTATAAGTGAGAATGTGCAGTGTTTGCTTTTTTTTGTTTCTGCATCAGTTTGGTAAGGATAATGGCTTCCAGCTCTATCCATATCCTGCAAAGAACATGATCTCATTCTTTTTATGGCTATATAGTATTCCATGGTGTATATGTACCACATTTTCTTTATCCAGTCTGTCACTGATGGACATTTGGGTTGATTCCATGTCTTGGCTATTGTGAATAGTGCTAACTTACCTTTTGAAAAAGTAGACTCAATTTTTCAAATGTTTGTGAACATTACATCATATGTCATATGTATCTATCCCAGAGATAACCTTCCTACAGAATTGGTCTAGTAACATAATATCTCGACAACACCCACTTTCATTTTAAGGGATAAACTGTAATAATGAATTTTCAGTCCTTATGATAGAGATCTCATGCAGATGATGGTATTTTGAATGAACACAAGCGTATACAAATGACCAACAAGGAATAAATAAAATTATACTCAAATGAAAGCTGCTTTTATCTAAATTAAAACAATTGGATTATAAAATAAAGATGGTGGTGTTAGTTTTCTAATGGTGAATGTTCCCTTTAGTAATCTCATTGACTCTTGCTCAATAAAATAAATAATTGAAACTAGTCTGTTTTTTCTTTATATGTAAATATCTCTTATAATTTACCTAATAGGTCACCATTATCATTGGCAAAGCTAAAACATTTTATAAAACAGTTATTGTACTAGAACTTTGGTATTGTTTAGCAAAATAGCAGGGAGCAGGAAGATTTTGCTGTGTTCACTGATCCGATTAGTTGCTATTGTTTTGTTGTTGTATTTCAGCAGGACTGAAAGCAGTGTTTCCCAAAGCATGAGCTGAGGATAATCTGGGAATTTTATAAATTATACAGATTCCTAGGCATACACAGCCCTACCTAATCAGAACCTCTGGGAACAGGGCATGAAAATCTACTGTTTCTTCCTCTTGAATTTAAATAAGCATCCTAACTGATTATAGCCACTAAATAAGAAATCTCTGCCCATCGACTCACATTTAAGAATATATAACTCATCTTTGGATAAAGCATTTTTCATTTTAATATTCCTCTCCACTCAGCATGCTTCTGTGTTATTTCTTACTTTCTCTTCCTCTTCTTGCTCCTCTTGCTAAGTTTCATAAAATCTCAGAACTATGTATCACTGGAATTCTTTGGTTATAAGCAATGGAACCTAATTCTGGTTAAGCTGAAGCAAAAAGTATTACAATTTATGGGGTAGATTATAGATTTTTAAAACAACCCCAAAGAATGATGTTAGGAAAAGACAAAAACTAGAGTCATTTCAGGTATGTTAAGAGTAGGAAGGACTAACCACACTAGTGCCTGTGTCACTTTATTTAGATTTCAAATGACATTTAAAAAGCATCAGCTTTGACTCCCTGGTCATGTGTCAATATTCTGGTCAATATTTTGACCAGGAAGTAAAACTAAGGGAATATTGCCTTCCTGGTCAATATTCTGGCCAGCAAGTAAAACTAAGGGAAACTCTCTAGAACTATATCCATGCAGTTCTCCAAAGCAAAATAGTAGTACAAGGCTGGGTACAATCACTCCTGCCTTTAATCCCAGCACTTTGGGAGGCTGAGGCAGGTGGATCATCTGAGGTCAGGAGTTCAAGACCAGCCTGGCCAACATGGAGAAACCCCATCTCTACTAAAAACACAAAATTAGCTGGGTATGGTGGTGCATGCCTGTAATCCTAGCTACTTAGGAGGCTGAGACAGGTGGATCATCTGAGGTCAGGAGTTCAAGACCAGCCTGGCCAACATGGAGAAACCCCGTCTCTACTAAAAACACAAAATTAGCTGGGTATGGTGGTGCATGCCTGTAATCCTAGCTACTTGGGAGGCTGAGGCAGGAGAATCACTTAAATCTGGAAGGCAAAGGTTGTGGTGAGCCAAAATAAAATAAAACAAAATAAAGATAAAAATAGCAGTACAGTTTTGAGAAGAATGGATGATTTCTGTGCAGTCAAAAGGAAGTTCACCACCATGCAGAAAACTTCCGAACCATTGGGGGGGAAAAGTACTTATTTTATTCAGAAGTCAACTAATTCCTGAGAGTTAGTCAACAAGTATTTATTACACACCTAGTACACTGAGGCAGGTGCTATATTAGGTGTTAGGGTAATAACAGTGGAATTACTAGAAGTCAGGGCAACAAATTAAGGCAAACAGTAGGGGAGCTAGTTTAGATAGTCCTCTATAAAACAGGATGAAGAAGGAAGAGCTTGTTAAAATAAACAGAAAGATTGAATAAGATACTTTTTTTGTTTACTTGGACTATTATTTTCATTAACTGAGGACTATATGGTAAACATTGTTTTTGCCTGCTATGTGTTCTTATGGGCCTTGCCTTAAATATATATGAGGGCTTACAATTTGGCAGTTTAATTAAATAATCATTGAATGAATCAAATTATGTGATTACAAGTTTTTCTCTATCTTAAGTAGTTAAAGAGTCTTTCTGAAATTATATTATGTCATATTATATTATATTAGTTTATGTTATTTACTTAAACAGACCCTATTATTTCAATCAACTTTTTGAACACATAACATGTGCTAGCTACTGGGGATAAAGATATTTCCAGCAATCAGGGAGCTCACATTTATTCTCAGGGAGTGTCTTTCTTCAGAGATAATGAAAAGGCAAACTTTAACCTGGTTTTATATTAACTTAGCTTAAGTTTCTTTAGCCTGGTTTTATATTAACTTAGCTCAAGTTTTATGTTATGCCTCTTTATATGTCTTCGTCTTCACACGGTCGTCCTTCTGCCAGGAATGCTCTATCCCTCAATTTATCCACCTAATGGGTACCAAGTTATTCTTCATATTTAAGATCAAAAGACTCTAGTGACAGTTTTCTTTAGTTTCTTGAAACGTAAGAGTCTCCCTGTGGCATTTCATGCCAATACTTCCAGCGTGTTATTACTTACCTGCCTTCTTCCTCATTTGACTCTTAACAACTTTTCTTCTTCATCTTCTAGAAGCCCAGACCCTCTTTAACACATGGCTCCAGCCACCATTTCTATACTGAGAATGCTCAAGAGATATGTTTCCAGGTTAGAGTTGTTTGGCAAGTTCTGGATGTGTGAGTCGTTCTTGCATTGCTATAAAGAACTACCTGAGACTGGGCAATTTATAAAGAAAAGAGGTTTAATTGGTTCACAGTTCTGCAGGGGTTACAAGTGTGACACCATTATCTGCTCAGCTATTGGTGAGGCCTCAGGAAGCTTACAATCATGACAGAAAGTGAAGGGGAGCCAGTGTGTCACACAGCAAGAGAGGGAGCAAGACGGAGAAGGCAAAGTCCTCAGCTTCTTTTCAACAACCAGATCTGACGTGAACTAACAAAGAACTCACTCATCACCAAGGGGCTGCTGCTGAGCCATTCATAAGGAATCCACCTCCATGATCCAACACCTTCCACTAGACTCCACCTCCAACACTAGGGATCACATTTCAACATAAGATTTGGTGGGAGCACACATCTAAACCATATCATTGGACTTGTACAGCAGGTTACACAATCAGA